CCCCTTCCCTGCCTCCCCCAGCCGCGGCTCTGGATCCTCGCGGTCCTCCTCCGAGCCGCGCATCCAGGCAGGAAAATCCGGGCTCTTTTCTCGTTTAACCCGCGTTTCCATTAACTCAGTCCCAGCACCAGCTAATCCGCTGCACCGAAGGCAAAGGAGGCTAATTAATGACCAGCTTTTCCAGTCAAGACCGGCGATAATTGCTTTGGTGGCCTTTATGATTACAAGATAAAAATGGGCCCGGCCTGACATAAGAGGCACTGTGTACACTCGGAGACGGGAGGAAGCGAAGAGCTGCGAGGCTGAATGCGGAGCAGAAAATTACTCATAGACGAGAGATAATGAATAGACCGGCCGGGCATTCAGGGGGAAAAATCCATTTTGTTACCACGCGAAACGAGGTGGTGGAAGGGAGTTTGCTAATTGTTGTCACCTTGTAGCGCCCGGGCCTGGGGCAGGGGCGGGCTTGGCCATTCATTTCCCGGGTAATCGTGGAGGGGTGGGCTGGCGGGCGATGGCGCTGCGCCCGCAGCCTTTCCATTTTCCTGCGGCGTTTTTAATTGTTGCCAATAGAACGTCTAATGAAGCTAATGAGGGGAGAGCGCCGCGCAGCCACGTGCACGTGGGGACGAGCGAGGTGCACCAAGAGGACCCTCTCGTCGTCTTGCCTCCGCTCCCGTTCCCGTCCCCAGCGAAACCACGGCAGCCTGGGGAGTTTGCAGCCTCCCTTTTTTATCCCCGCTGAGAAGTGAGCTTCCGAGACCAGACTCTGCGGGTCCTTTCGAGGAAAAAGACTTGGGGGCGAAGAACCCGAGTCTGCGCCCGGGGCCGCCGGGGCAGAGACTGCCGGGGTTGGAGGATCCCGCCAAGGAATCCTTTGGAGGGAGTGAGGGGAGCCGTCTCTGGCATGGCAGGTCCCCGGAAACGCGAGGAAGAACATTCGCGTGAAAGCGCGCCAGGCCAGACCTGGGTTGCAGTGAGCTGAGGACTGGCTGGACTTCCGCAGCTGCTTTGAACCGCAGCCGCCCCAGGCTTCTCTTCGAGTCTCCCTCCAATCTCCTTCACCCTCTGCTCCTCCCCCCCCCAATCTGTGGTGCCCGCTCTGATAAACTGCTGTGCCTCTTTAGAAGAAGGAATGGACACTTTATTTCACTTAAGGCAGCAAATTAGCTGCCAAATACTTTACATGCATTTGAAAAACAGCCACCACCAAGGGGGGGGGGGAGTGATTCCTTTAACTTTTCTCTTGAAAGCACTGCAATCTGCGAAGTGCTATTTTGAAACAACTTCTGCCTCTCCTTTGAGGGCTGTTGTTCCGCGGAGCCCTCCTGTCATTGTTTGAATGCCAGCAGAGTGTCCTGTTGGGTTGAGCTTGCCATTTCCAAGTTGCATTTGGAGAGGGTTTTTTTTTTTAAGGAGGTGATGATTTGTGACGAGCTGACATGCCCCCTCACTCCTTGTTCTGCAGAAAAGCAAACTCAAGCTCCTGCCTCATCGGGTGGAGCAGGAAGACTCGACCAAGTTCATCGTGCTCACCCTGGTCTCCATCGCCTGCATCGTGGGCGTCCTCCTGGCCTCTGGCCTCATCTACTGCCTCCGCCACAGCTCTCACTACAAGCTGAAGGAGAAGCTGTCCGGACTAGGGGGTGACCCAGCTGCAGATGCCACCACCGCCTACCAGGTAAAAAGGGACTTTTAAAGACGTGATATGTGGGATTTATCATCCGAACGGACAGATTATGAGTTCACTCCTCTCTGGCCCCTCCCCCACTCCTAGCAGTTGTTCATTTATTCATCGTTTGGGTTCTTTTATGATGACAGTTTGAAACTTCTCATTAGCATTCATGTAAATATCTTGCAACCACAGTTTTACGGCTCTGTATTAATCTTATGCTGTTCTCGGATGGTCTCATGTTAGCTAAGAAAGTGGGCTGCTAATTAGAAATGTGGAAAAAGTACAATACATGAATTATGTATTATCTGTTATCTTTCTTAGTTTGGCCACTATTAATGAAAAACTGCCAGAGTTGCAAGATAAATTGGTGTGTAGATGTTTGAAGATGTCTCTTAAATCATCGACTTCCTCGGGGTCTTATATGAAAAGATCCTCTGACCTGATCTGTTGCCACACTCTGCTATTATTCGAATAAAGTGAAATCTAATGCTGATAAATGGGAGGTAAACCAAGCATGTCTCCAGGAGGACAGTGGTGCAGCCGTGCGCTGGCGCTACAGAAATATCCTGGGTGCACCTGGAAGTACATTAGAAACCAGTGAGGGAAGACAAAGCTCAGACCAAACTGGGCATTCAAAAAAATCACAGAATGTTTGGGAGTTCTGTAACATTACATCTCATATTTAATACTGGCCTGTAATTTTTTTAAAATGCTTTCAGTTTTAACACCTGCAACTCAGGGCACTCGATTTCTCTTCATATAAAATATTATTTAATTCCAAGTGTGGATTCCTATTTAGGAAGGTAAAATGGTTTCCTTCATCACCGTTTTAAAAGTTGAGTTAATATATATTTGTGAGATTTTCCTCTATTGGGCTAGATCCTTTGTTTTCTCTAGTCACAGACTATGATGTGTAAGATGTCTTGTATTTTACAGTCATCTGTAAAGTAAATATTATTATCCCATCGTCAGAGTTACATAGGTGGGTCCTCAAGCTCTTTCCAGAAAATACCCTCCAGCTGTCCAGCAGTGCACCCTCCGTAAACTCATGGGAGCTGGCTTTTTTGTTGCTCTGTGGTGTGCCCTGACCCTGCCCCACGTAAAGAGTTAGGAAGAATTTATAAAATCTCTATGCTTAAAAGAAACCAAGAGACAGCTTTTCCTCCCATTTCAAAATTCTTAGTATTGTCATTGAATGGAGGAAACCTTGAGTTTTCCGGAGAGGGTCACCAGTCCGGTCAGGACGATCTTTTTCTTGTAAAGAAATGGCAACTTCAAATGTGTTGAGACTGGCATTTCAGTTGCAGTGTGTAGCTTTGCTTCAAAGCAAAAGAAAAATCACTTTTGAAGAAGCAACCTGAAAAAAAAAGTCACATAAACTAGTAAGAATTTATCCCGAAATTCCATTGAGCAAGACCCTCAATGCAGGATGCCAGGTCTTCAGGCCAAGTCTGTGTCAGTACATAAATAAATTATCACACCAGTTCTGTTCCGTGTGTGAGAGACGGAAGATCATACGGGTGGAGATTTTTAGAAAGTATGGCATCCTTTGATATACTTTGAAATTCAAATATAAAATATTGATAGAGTGGAAAGGTTGGACTTGCATGCAGAAATGACTAATTTTCTTTAAAAAATCCAGGTTGAAAACGCACACTTAGGACTGAGTTTGTGATCATTAACAGAAAACAAAAGGCTTTCCAATGACAGCTCTAATTAATAGTATCTGTAATTAAAATCATGCCCTTCCAGCAGGAAAATTGTTTGAATTTCTTGGAGTGACCTTTTGGCTGTTCCTCCTGAGGGCATGGTGGTTAAGTTGATATTGATTTTATAATGAGCTCTGGTTTGTTTAATAAGAATCTGTAATCCAGACAATAAATGAAATGTGTGCTTTTCTTCAATCCAGATGAAGAAAAGGAAAAAACTTTTTCTTTAAAAACATGACTTAGGTAAATTTGGAAATGAACTGATTGTAAAGATTTTCTGTTGGACTTAGCTTTGAAGTCACTACATAATTTCATTTAAGGGACAACTTGGATTAAATGTTTGCCCCCTCGCAGTGGATTGTTTACTGGTGAGAAAGTTCTAGTTGCTAAGATGAAGTGTTGTTTTGATTTGCGTTTTGGCAAAGCAGGCATTTCAGCAAATAGGGATGAGTATGAACGGTTTTTAACTTTTGATTTAGCTGAGTAATGTACTAAGGGCTCAGACAATTGTAGTTGCAACAGAGAGTTTTTAGATTGGTAAATGAAGCAAGTATTAATTTATTTGTGTATCTGTATTTCATTTGGGTTTTCTGTAGTTGCCTTAGGTCCCCTTCAAGTTTAAAAATCTGTCTGAAAAATGGCAAACATAGAAAAATAGATTTCAGGAAAAGTGTCTTGTTGCATTAATGTATTTATTTTGCAATAATTGAATTTCTGTACCTTGCCAATTCTATAATAAAAGCGAAGTTGTGGATCATAATTCTCATCACTGGTTTACAACCAGTGATGGAACAGTTTGATATTATGCTTATTTCATGGGGTGATGTTGAAAACACTCAATTCATTTTCTCAAAGCTTCTGAAAAAGAAAAAGATTATTGTGCAAGTTAAGTTCCAAGTAAGAAACCCAGGAGTGATAGAATGGTAGATGGCAATATAACAAGTTTTATTAATATCAAAACCTAAAATTACCCTTCAAGCAAAAGAAAGAAATGTTCTTATCTGGGGAAAGAAAGCCCAGGAGCAGAGGCATTCTCTCAGAGTGGAGAAGAGGATGCTCAGGATGGCATTCTGGGGTGGAGGGGATTGGTGACCTCAGGTTGCGTGGTTCCTTCTTCCCTGGGAGTCCAAGAGGTGAATCCGTGTGTCCCCAGTTGCACAGTACCAGCGTAAAGTGTACAGTACTCCTAAAGACTACTTCCAGCAGGAACTGGGAGGCCCTCCCTGTGCTGACCTTTGATAAGCATTTGTCTCTATCAGCCCATATCATGCACATCGCTGGCCATCCCCAGGGCACAAGATTACTGTGGGTCACAGTGGGTCCATGGAGCACCCCGGAATAGTCAGTAGGCTTTTCTTAAAATGGTTTCAAAGCAGTGAGCAGTTTGAATTATCAGATTCTCATGCAGAGATCTTTAAACATATTTACCTTTTCTTCTTCAAAATAGAACTATTTCATAGACAGAGTCAGGATTTTGGAGGTTTCTTCATTGGCCGCTGTATGTATGTGTGTGATATGTTTGTTTGACTTATCTATTGGAAAAGCAAATCTTTGATGCCAAGATTTCAATCCCATCAGATAATCCAGCAAAGTTTAACTTGCTCAAACTTGAAGAAATTGGGTATATTAACTTTCAGGATAATGAAAATACATTTTTAAAGGCCATGGGTTTAACAGAGTACTGCCCTCCAAACTTTTCCTCATTGTTTTGGTAAATGTTTTTTTCTTCTAAATACATAAAACATAATTTTTTTCAGATTAAATCTGTACTTCATTATTAAAAAGCCATCTTTGTTTATTTGTTTTCTTTATTTTCTAATTGGCATAGCGTGTCATATGTATATATGTGTACATGTATGTAAATATGTGTACATATTTGTACACACGTGTGCACATACACACTAAGGTTAATGTGAAGGCACAAAAGGATGATGCTATTTGGTACCAGTATACTTTATGCAGTTTTTTTCATGAGGTGTCCTATTTCTATGGAAGGTGATTGGGTAAAAACTGTGCCAAAAATAAGTTGTAGATGATTAGAAGACATTCTCCTCCTTTTTTTCTCTGAGTCTCTTTGAATGTTGCATCCATTTCTTTGAGGCTTTGATCATCTTTGAGCAGCAAGTTTAGTATTCTGCCAGCCCACTCTGCCTTCTCCGACATGAGGGCAGAGACTCCTGCGGAATTTTCAGCAAGTTCTCTTTTGATGGTTTATTTCACAATACCCAGCAGGTTTCTTTGTGTACTTGGAGGCCTTTGGAACCAAACCCAGAGGAACGCATGCATCCGGGCCACAGGGACCTCCTGTAAACAGAACTGCTAAGTGCGTGTCTCGGTTACTGCCCTTCCCTTAGCAAGTGGTTTTTAATGTCATGGCAGTATGCATGGTGATTGTGGACCGAGGCAGGTGTCTCATGAGTCCAAGTGCACCCTGACTTCTCGTCTCTAGTGTGGAAAGCTGGGTTCTTGCGGAGAGAGGATGGGTCATAGTTGCCATCATTCTCTGGAGCTTTGAATTGAGAGACCCTTCTTTTTCTAGGTGAGCTTAATCTTCTGTAATTGGTGTAATCACAAGTCATAGGAATGGCAAAGAGGTAGGATGTTCACAATTAAGTTGGGAAACACTGAATTTCCCTAAGGTTTAGGTAATTGACCCCACCACCAAGTTTCTAAAAACGCCTTTTCCATACCTGTCAGCTCTTTATCTTAGAATGGTTTCCTGGTTTTATATTCAGACTTCCAGGTAAAAATAATACTTTTTTGCAAATGTCTGATAAGCAAAATTCATCCTACTTCAAAAATGAAAGGGTGACTTAAAATATTATTAAAGAACATTTCTTTTTATTATAACATAGTCAAGCCTGAGAATTGCAATTATTCTAATTTTACCTTTGCAAATGTAGCTGATAGTACAAATGTCTGTGAGTGAAATTCTCTTGAAACCATTCGAAATATGGATTTGGTTTTGCAGGTGTCCTCAAACAGATGCCAGGCCCCTGGAAGGTGAGGTCACATCACACGTCTCCTATGTTCCATGGTGCCCAGAAACGTCCCAGGTCTCCCTGTAAATAAGCAAATGCTAAATGACTGTAAAATGAATGCTAAATTTCATCCTTCTCCAGGCAGTAATGGGTGATAATCTAAAGAAAACTAGAGAAATGTCGCCAAGGTGAGGATGAGGGAAGACATTTTGTCCCCAGTAGCCCAAGAACTTGTTTCTGTTGGCATATGTTCTCAATCTCAAGTCATCAATATGTGGAGTCAACTAGCCCTGTTTTTGCAAGCTCAGGGGAATCC